TCACCTGAAAGCTCATTAAATCTATAAAGGCTTGATGCTTTTGAATGGATCCTACCTACACAACCTCTTTGTTGAAAGGTTCTGTTTATAAAATAAAATCTAATCCCATACAAATTCTTTTTTTTTGGTTTTCCAATATTAACAGATTATACTATAGAACATGAACAGAGGAAGTGACAAATCACTGTAGCATTTAAAGAGAATTTCATTCATATATCTGACATCGAATAAAATCCCTGTTTACCAGTAATAAAAAAAGGTCCATATAAAATAATGATAGTTGGCAGATTAAAAATGCATTTAAAATACATACATGTTCACCATTGTCTCCAGAAAGCAGAACAATATCTGTTGCTGCTCTTTTAGGCACAATAAATGCCACAATAATTTCAATTTTTTTATATTTTTTTGTAAGTTAACAATTTGATGTTATATTTACAATATTTTTTAGCATAATACGGGTTGAATCACATGTTAAAAGCCAAACAAAGAGCCCTCAGCAGTTTCATATCTCATTGATCTAAAACCTGACTGCAGCTTCAGGGCAGGAATTTACTTTTTGATTCCCGACCAAAACAGTTCAATTCCTTCATTTTGGATCATTTAGGATCATTTGGGAAAATCATGTTCCCCTGAACATGTCTGCAGTCCAGATCAGGTCACATGTGATCTGGAATGATCTCATTAGGTTATGTTTATGTGATCAATCCAGCAAAAAGTGACATTAAACTCTCATTATTTAGTTAATGAATAATTGTTGCTGGTTAACGAAACAGTTTAATCACACCAATATTTCAATATAAAAAATACTGAAATGTCATTTAAGTGATTGTTTCTTACCAATGTATTTATGTACTTATGTGCTTCCAGTTAAAGTATTTCCAAAGCGATTGATTTATACATTTTTAGATGTTATTGATGGATAACTTATCCTAAATCCAGTGGCTGAAGTAGTTTATTCATATTTCTGCTGCATTTAAAACCCCATTAAACATATATATATATATATATACTTTATATTCTCAATGTTATATGGGCTTTCATGCATTTAAAGCAAGTAGACAGAGTTGGAGAGGTCACCTTCCTAACCTGTCTGCTCAGTGGAAAAGCTGAAAACTCTCATTTACAGTCATTAATATGTACATCATTGCAGCTATTTGACATTTAACCTTCTGCTTATCAACAGTTTGTTTAACAATGCATAGAGTCACTCCTTTTTTTTCTAAAAGTGTCTAAATAAAAGGCTTGCTGCAAAAAAGAAACTATTCATGTCTGTTTTAGTCAAACTTTTTTGACCGTACTAAAAATGACCACATAAATTGAAATTCACCAATCAGAGTTTTAATCTAGCTGGAGTTTGTTTTGAACTCCTGCTTTAATATTAATCATAAAGTCACAAATATCTGCTTTGCTTATGTCTAGACATGCTTGATGATGATTGCCCCTTTTTTCCATGAGGTGATTTAGTTGCCCAGCAGTGGTACAACACTGCCACCTGCTGAACAAAGCAGTGCAACAAACTGGGAATAAGTCAACAGAGTGGGAAGGAAAAATAAACTATTCCCCCAAACAGTCAGATTAAATGTTTCCCCAACAGGCTTGTTTATCAGACTAAATGCATCTTTTAAAATCAACTTTGAAACAGTTGTTTAACACACCCTAAATTAAGACCAGATTTCTATCTTTAAAGTGTTTCTGTTTTCTTTTTGAAAGGAGGGGTCTGGTATCAGATTCTAATCTTACACAATATTTGACAAACAAACAAATTAAACATGTTTGTTTTTCATCCTTATCAAGTTAAAGAACCGAGTTAATAAAATAAATGAAGTTGGGTATAAAATTCAAATGTTTGAATGGTCTATACTGTATTGTACTGTAATGTAAGATTTTTTCATCTCTCAAACTTTTATATATTCTTTATTTAGATCAGTTTAATGTTCAACCAGGGTGCAATGAGTTTTTTTTTATGTGTTGTTTTAAAAAAATGTATAGTGTAATGATGTGATAGTTTAAAAAAAAAAAAAAACATCTTTTGACAAGTTAAATATCAACAAAAGTGGGATCAGCCCCCCCAGGAGGGAAAAAAGTCTCCAACAAAGGCTTATGTTTACATCTTGTCTTCTTCTTTATCCACAGATACAGCATTTATTAGGGACATTAATATGTACATCATTGCAGCTATTTGACATTTAACCTTCTGCTTATCAACAGTTTGTTTAACAATGCATAGAGTCACTCCTTTTTTTTCTAAAAGTGTCTAAATAAAAGGCTTGCTGCAAAAAAGAAACTATTCATGTCTGTTTTAGTCAAACTTTTTTGACCGTACTAAAAATGACCACATAAATTGAAATTCACCAATCAGAGTTTTAATCTAGCTGGAGTTTGTTTTGAACTCCTGCTTTAATATTAATCATAAAGTCACAAATATCTGCTTTGCTTATGTCTAGACATGCTTGATGATGATTGCCCCTTTTTTCCATGAGGTGATTTAGTTGCCCAGCAGTGGTACAACACTGCCACCTGCTGAACAAAGCAGTGCAACAAACTGGGAATAAGTCAACAGAGTGGGAAGGAAAAATAAACTATTCCCCCAAACAGTCAGATTAAATGTTTCCCCAACAGGCTTGTTTATCAGACTAAATGCATCTTTTAAAATCAACTTTGAAACAGTTGTTTAACACACCCTAAATTAAGACCAGATTTCTATCTTTAAAGTGTTTCTGTTTTCTTTTTGAAAGGAGGGGTCTGGTATCAGATTCTAATCTTACACAATATTTGACAAACAAACAAATTAAACATGTTTGTTTTTCATCCTTATCAAGTTAAAGAACCGAGTTAATAAAATAAATGAAGTTGGGTATAAAATTCAAATGTTTGAATGGTCTATACTGTATTGTACTGTAATGTAAGATTTTTTCATCTCTCAAACTTTTATATATTCTTTATTTAGATCAGTTTAATGTTCAACCAGGGTGCAATGAGTTTTTTTTTATGTGTTGTTTTAAAAAAATGTATAGTGTAATGATGTGATAGTTTAAAAAAAAAAAAAAAACATCTTTTGACAAGTTAAATATCAACAAAAGTGGGATCAGCCCCCCCAGGAGGGAAAAAAGTCTCCAACAAAGGCTTATGTTTACATCTTGTCTTCTTCTTTATCCACAGATACAGCATTTATTAGGGACTGGAAATATACTTTTTTGTTTGAAAAATGGAAGGTTGGTCATTCAGAGCTCACATGTTTAACTGGCTTTCTCTCCAAGTTAGAGACACAACAGGAATTAAAGTTCTCTTAGATCCCTGCTTTGTTGCTTTGTGTGTGTTTGTCTGCTGGAGCCAGTTCTTCTGAGGGTTTTTTCCTGATAAAGGGGAGTTTTTACCTCGACTGCTGGCAAAAAATTAAAACTTGGAAGAATTGGTTTATTAATAAAGAATAATGAGAAGAAGAAAGTTTCCCAATGAATCTGAGCAACTGAAATATGTTGAAAAGCTGCAGCTGGCGAAGATGTTTATGAGCAGAAACCTCAGGATTATTACGTAAGGACACAGATTAATATAATTTAAAACCATGCAGCTGGTGGTTGTTTTTTTTCATTCAGTCTCGTATATAAAATGTTTGTGACGGTAATATTCAGCTCTAAGGAAATCTGATTCCAGTATCTGTGAGGTTCTTTCCTGAGTTTACTGTGAGCCTGTTATTTATAAAAACAGATTGCCTTTTTATCATTTATACCCCTAGATTTCAATCCAGGAGTTAGAGTATCACCTTACATTCAACCAGACACCCATGCTGGCCTGTACTTCAGGCAGTGATGTGACATTTCCAGAGAACTTTGCAGGCTGTGAACCAATGGAAATAAGTGACTGATGCCAAAGAGAGATTGATTAAGCTCCTTTTGGCCCAGCAGGGAATGATTATAAGCACATATTTCTACCTAAACTATGGTTGGGAGTGTTAAAGAGAGAAATCAGGATAATATTCACCTGATGTCATCTTTGTTAACAGCATGATTACATTTTATTACAATTGAACTATCTACGTAAACAGTTGTCTATTAATAGAAATATTGTTTACTGCTGGAAAGAGACAGAAAAATGTTTTACGTCAAGCAGCTGACAGAGTTGAAAGGCAACTCATTGGTCCGGGAAGTTATGGTGAAATGGCGGAACCATTAAAAACAGAATAAATCCAGTGGAAAATAAATTTGTTCCCTTTTTCTGTATTTGCTTTTGCAGTCATCTGCTTTAGTAATAAAACTCAGAGAGAAATACTTTTTGATCTTGTTAATGTGTAAAAAAGTCACATTAAAATTGATAAATTATTGATTAGATGTAACATGTATTTTAAATCGAATGTAATTTTAAATGATTTAACTTTAAATTGACACAACATGAGTCAAATTATACAGTTATCCTTAAATACTTGTAATTTAAATATTGGCTCATAAAGATGTTTCAATTTTAAGTTGATCATCTGGAAAATCAGTAGGATGGCTGGATGGAGTGTTTTCAGAGGCTGAAGTTGAGATAACTAATGTCTGACTGGTGATTTCTTTCTAAGGGGAACATTTCTAGAAAGCTGAAAAACTGGAAAAACTTTTCCCTGGAGTCTTCTTAACACTTCGAAGTTGTATAGAATCCAGCATCTTAGCATGTGGACTATAAATCATACACCTGTGAAAGAATGGGTTGATTTCAAGATCTCAGTGAAATCCTAGTGTGGTATCTTAGTAGCATGTGACCTGTACTGTACAATGAGGTCAACAGATGATGAGCCATATAGGCCACAGTTTTATGCCACCAACTTTGTGGGAACAGTTTTGTAAAGGCTTCTTCCTTTTTAAATTCTGCACCAGAGAACAAAGAACGGACCTGATTATCCCAAATTTAAAAAGCACCTTTCAGAGACAAAGCTCTGTATAATATAAGCTGTTCAAAATAGTTCAACAAAATGCATTTACAACATAAATGCATAACATTATGAGAAAATAGAGGAAAAATTATTTTCGTTAGGTTTTTAAATCACTCCACAGATCAAGTTGCAGAGCTAAACAGTTCACTGGTGGAGGAGCCACATGATGAAGACCCCTTAGTTTTTAACACGGATATTCTTAGTTTTGTATGGAAGACTATGATTCTGTGTGTTTGGTTTAAAGCTGAGACACATAATCAGGAGCCGGGTCATATATTGAGATATAAAGGTGAGATAAGGTGCTAAGAATGCTGATATGAGTTTATTTTTTAGATTTAGTACGAAGTCAAGCCTCTGCGCTTTGAATAGCTTAAAGTTGGGAAGTAGATTCTTATTCCAGGATGGTAAAAATACGGAAGACCAAGAGTGTCCTTGAAAAAGAAAAACAGTAATTTCAAATGTAACATTTAAATCATGCAACTTGAAATCCAATTTCAAAGCATTTTCTTATTATGCATTTTAATTTGAATTCTTAAACAGGAGTTGTAAATTGTATTTATTAATCCAATATTAAATGCCAGAATTTAATATTGAATATTAAAAAACAAATACCTCTCCTAATCACACATTTAAAAATATTATTCCTCATTTCATTTCTTTTTATCTTCCATTTTCAAATCCTTTTGGAAATTGCATTCTCCTTTTGCCCTCCCCTCTCCATTTAACATTTCCATGACCCTCAGTGTGCTACAAATTCATAAATACAAAACGCGCAATTAGAAAATGCTTTTCAAATAGCATGATTTAAATGTTACATTTGAAGTGGCTGTTTTTCTGTTTTAATGACTCTCTAGGTCTTCCATATGAAAGGACATTAGAGAAGTCTTGATAATATGATAAAAAGAAAACAGAATAATAGAAAACATTTGTGGAAACCTATAGTTAGGTTACAAGAGTAACGAATTATCTGTTATTAAGTCAAGCTGAACTTTTTGTTTTATATTCTTGAAATAAACCAAAACAGACAGAGAAATCTGCTGATTGGAGTCGGGAAAGGTTTGAGTTTGCAAACAAAAGCATTCAGAGACCTGCTGTGCTTATGTTATACTAAAATGACTCAGAAAACTATTTTCCTTTTTCACTTTCTCCCCTAAAATCTGGCCAAAAATATGAGAGGCTTTTATGTGGTCTGCAGATTTATTAATGTTTCACTGCACACAGTGCAGCGATGACATGACAGCTACTTGAATCTAAGGCCGGCGTCTATCCAGAAGCCAATGTGCAACATCTGTGAGAAGAAATAAATGTCACCAATTGAAGTGTTTAGCAGATTCAGAACAAACAGAAATATTCAGCGTCTTTGACACATCATCTGTAGATATATACAAGTTAAACACAGAAATACTGCAGCTGTTTCAGCTAATTCCTTCAACTTTAGCTCCTCAACCACAGAAAGCAATAAAGGAAAGGCTAAAGGAGTTTGTTTTTCATCTGCCTCTTTGGGATTGCTTTATGAATGTTTTACAGACACCTCATGCAAAAACAGCAGAGTTTTTCCAGTCTGAGTAGACAAGGAAGCCAGTGAAAGTGCTGTCAGTCTTGGTGCTAGAATAAAACCCATTATACTCTGTAAGAGCCACCTGGACCCACACCTGATCGCTGGGGACGAGGTGCAGCAGTGAGCCGCCAGACAGAGATGCCGGTTTGGGCCAGTTGCCATAAAACTGAAAGTAAGACGCCACAGCATGACCGTTCTTCATCAGGTCAAACTGCAGGCTGGCGCGATACACAGTGGCGTGCACCGCAAAGTAGTAGACTCCAGGGACTTTGCAGGTAAAGCGTCCTGTCTCTGTGTTGTAATCCCCCTGTTCGTTGAGGAGGATTGTGTCAAAGATGACGGCATCGCCAACATTTTGAGGTAAAGACTGACCCTGAGACAGTTTGACACTGAAAGCTGATTTAGGAGCCACTGCACACTCTCCTGGCTGGCCCCTCTCCCCTTTTTCTCCAGTGTAACCTTTATCTCCAGTTAGGCCTCGCATCCCCGTCTCACCTGGAAATGAAAAGGAGTATAAACATGAGAGGCGAAACCTCACAGAAATCATCAACACTCCCCAAAAAAAACATTACCTAGCTAGCAGAAGTAGGGGAGACTGCAGATGGTTCAAGCTATTTTTATTTCTTTTCTCTTAATTCCTCTGAGTAAATTGGGCCTAAACAAACCATTTCTTTATATATGTATAAAATACACATCTGCTTGCTAACTGCCCATATTATTTAGATATCATTCATAAAAAACAAATATGTCACAAATAACCCCTTCCCTGTAGGCAATCTGGGATGGAGAGCTGTAGTGTTTATGCAACATGTCATAAATCTATTTAATAACACTAATCATTATTTGTCTTTTGTCTCAATGAGCGCTTTATTCTGAAAACTTGTATTGTTTATAAAACTTAGTTAACAAATAAACTGTCATTTTGGGCTCTCTGAAAAGTCCACATAAATAGACGAGCTAAAATGACACAAACTTTAAAGCTTTTAGAATATTATTATTTAACATCCCAACTGCACATATCAAACAGAAAAAAATACATTTAAAAAAAAATATATATTTTTTAAAGCTTAGATAGTCACGATTCTGCCCTTTGTGGACTTCTGTTTAAGTTTATTTTTGAGTTTTCAGTTACATTTTGATTTATGTCATTCTGCGTTTATTTTTTTTATTGGTTTCTTTTCGATTTTGTGTCTTTCTAGTTGCTTTCTAGTTCTATTTAAGCAGTGTTGTATTTCTTGTGTTACTCTCTGTTGCCCCCTTGTGCCAGTATCCTTTCCCCTTTGCTCCCTTCTAGTTACTTCTATCCACACCTGCACCCTATCAGCTCATTAGCCCATTATTTTCTGTCTCCCATATATACACCTCCTTTGCAGTTTCTTCTTCTTTGTGCTTCTGTTACCATTTACATCTAAATTAGAAAGGGGCGTGTTGGTTGCGCAGTGGTTAGCGCATACGACCCATGTACGGAGGCCTCGGTGCTCAATGTGGCCGACCCAGGTTTGAATCCGACCTGTGGTCCTTTGCTGCTCTCATACCCCCTTTTCCTAGTGTCGTAAAATCTCAAAAAATTAAATAAAATTGGCGAGAAATCATCCCTGCCTCCTCATCTCTGCATTTGTGTCCTCAACTAACTTTTACTAAACCTGACAAAGATATCTTAAATCTTTCTTAAACCTTTCAAACGTTAATACGTTTTAATGGAAGTCCTCATGAAAATAAGGACAGTTCCTTCCCAAACTTCCCTTCAACCAGAGTCTTATATGGTTTTCTTTTTTTAACTGGGATTTGTTGGCAGGATAACAATAGAGTATGCAAAATAAGAAAAGCTCAAAATCCCAAGCAAATGTCCATGTCCATACACACAAATGGACCGGGAATATTAAGTCTAAGAAAATGTATTGTATCTTATTTTAACTATAGAAAATGAGAAGAAAAGCATGTTGGGTAGCTGTCAAAAATAGTGTCTAAATTCTTTTTTACAAAAAATCACATATATTCACTGGGTAGAAAAATTCCTCACCTTTAACAAAAATTATTGCACTAATATCTAACTATAAAACCATTTTGTCTGAGCCTGCTTCTTTTTTTCTAGTTTGCATAGAGGCACCTATGAGCAGGAATCAAAGCCCAGGACCTTTGGACTTCCACACTTGTTTAGTTTTTCTTGGTTTTGCTTTAAAAACAGCATGTTTAGTTCACCCCAAAAAGATTTAGATAGGTGCATCCCCAGCACTGCCCATCACTGTGCTGTGGCGTGATTTAAAGGGTTTTGGTGCTTAAGATACACTATTTCTCTGTAGACACATCAGTATTTTAACCCCTTAGACTTTGTATTATAACATTTTTGTGGATATTCATAATTTAAGTTGGCATATTCTAATTACTACTGCATTGGAACTCTGCAAATAATCATTTCCGTTACAGCAAATGTATACAATAACCTATAGAGATTTTCAGACAGATGAACTTTGACCAGCATGCACATCATCTGCTGCTTTCCTCCATAAACAAAGGACACCTGTTTTCATACATGGTATGTTCTTACTGTGCAAACACCACACTGATGCTTTTTTTTGGCCACAACCTCTTTCGATCAATTTAATTACACTGAATACAAAGCAGGCTTTTCATAATGGCTGGGTCTGTTGGTTTTCTATTACTCTGTTGCCTCTTGTTAAAATTATGCACCATGTGGAAATATATATATAATACAAAGCAAATCAATATACAATTTTTTAAATTTCTGAGCAATCTGAAAAGTGTGATGATCATCTGTGGTTGTAATAGACAGAAAGGAGTACCTGGATCCCCCCTGTCTCCCTTCTGGCCTTTCTCTCCCGGAGCAGCGTCCCTCCCATCTCTTCCATCTCTTCCCGGCTGACCGGGACTGCCATGAACCCCAGGAGAGCCCGGGATGCCAGGGTGGCCAGTGCACAGACTGGGAGGGATTTTATTGTCTTCCAACTGGCTGGAAAAACAGACTTGTAGGGCGATGAGGGAATATAACAAGGCAAACAGGCGGAGTGAGGTCATTGCACTGGAGTGGCTAAAGAGTAAAGAAGTAGAGTTTTAATCACTAATATGAAAGCTATCAGACAGCTTTAAACATATTTAAACAAAATAACAGTAGAGCACAGAAAATATTGTATTGTAAATACAATTTTATGATAATAATAGCAGGAGGGAGCATGCTAGTATAGAAGAAATTCCATGAACATGTCAGGCAGTTTGAAATGGAAAACTTTATTGGCATGTCATTAATCATAGTTAAAACAACTACAATAAAACATGTAGAAGATTCTTCTAAGGAAATATGCTGAACTCCAGCTGTTAACTAAAACGAGTGCTGCTGGGGAGTTTTTCTTGGAAAACAAACAAATATTAAGCATTTGGTTATAAAAGGTCTTACTTTTTTTTTTTTTTTTTTAGATAAAAACTTTGTATTTGAGTGTATGGGTAGTATGATGTTGTGGGGTATGTGTTGTATCTGTGGCGGTAGAGCTTACAAACTAAAACATGACAAATAATTCTGAGGATGCAATCTTCCATCCTCTATAGAACCTCCTATTCCAGGTCTTTGGATCCAGTAGTTCCAGGTTATCAATAGACAACACCCTAAAAACACCACCAGCACTTTGCAGAACTAGCACTGAGACACCATGCATAGGAGAAATTTGAGAGAACCTCACACCGTAAATTCTGACCTGGATTTGAACCCATGAAATTATACAGTGCAGCTGCAGTCAAGTATAATTGACCAGATATTGAATTTATATATTTTATTTCCTTTGGTAGAACTAAGCACATCTAATTTAAAAAACAAACAAAAGAAAATCAATTATAATCATAAATCTAATACAGGTGATTTATGGGTCACAGGTTTTTATTCTTTTTAACGTGTTTTAATTATTACTTCTGGGGTGTTTAATACTGCATGCCTACAGACTATTAGGAAATGATTAAATTAAAGTTAGACTTCCTCTGTCCTACTTTTGCATGTGGATAGGTATTAACTCATTAGAGTTAAAAATGCTGCAGAGAAGATTTCACTATTCTTCTTGTTTTATTCAAATGTTCAGTAGGGAGTTTTGTTTAAGTGTTTCACTGTGTTTTTATATTATTATGTGGATTTCAGATATTTTAATAAACCTTTAAAGACAACATTTATAGGGCTTCCTATTATGTCACATTACAGCCACAAAGCTTTAACAAGTTTACTGGGATTTTGCACAGCTTTCCAAAGCAAAGCATTCTGCATAATTATTATTAGGTGGGAAATGATTCATGGTTTTTAACTTTTAATAGAGCTAAAACTGAGAGTGCATTTGCTTTCAGCCTTGCTGACACAATACCTTTCAGAACTATGTGTTCCAGCCATCACAGTCTTAGTGGGTTTATGTCTATGGCAGGTTTTTAATCTTGGCTCTTGACAACATCTTAATCTTAAAGGTCTTGGTTCTTGGTGGTCTTTTCTCTAGATAACTGTTTTTTAATGTAAACTGTTATTTTGTAGCTCTGTCTGTTGGTTTAGGGTTGTTGTCCTACTGGAATATGAACCTCTGTTCCAGTCTGAAGTCCTTTACAGCCTGAAATTTCTCTATCAGACCACTCAGGTCTTCTGGCTCCAGCCTGCTCTGCATAACTAGAACCAGAACTAAACATGGAGAAGCAGCATTTAGTTCCTTTGCTCCACTTATCTGGAACAAACTTCTAGAGAACTGTAAAAGTGCGAAAAGCCTGAGTTCCTTTAAATCAAGACTAAAAACAAATTTGTTTAGGATTGCCTTCGACTGTTCTAGTTAAACAGTTCAACTGAAACATCATTAGTTCAACTTTTTAATTTTCTTTAGTCTGTTCTATTTTGTTTCTGCAGTTTTATTTTTTTTCTACTTGTTTTGATTCTGTTTTATTTTTCTATATTTTAATCATGTAAATCACTTTGCATTGTCTTTGTACTGAATTGTGCTATACAAATAAATTTGCCTTGCCTTACCTTGCCTATTGTTTGCCCATTGTTTACCATTAATTCTGACCAGTTTCCCTTCTCCCCTATAAAGAAAAGTATCCCAGAGAATCACGTTGACCCCACCATGTTTGTCTGTCTCCTACACGCCCTACCCTGAGACCTTTAAAAAAACAATCTTTCCTCATTTTATTACTTAAGTACTCTGTTAACTACAGCTAAAATTGGATCGTTTACTTAACGACTGAACATTTACTTCGATTTACTGTTAGCAGTGTGCAAAATTTACAGGAAAAGTCCAAACTGCTAAATCAGCATCTTTACCGCCTAAAATATGGATGTTTCATTCAGAACATCTGCACACAAAGAAGCATGGAGGGAGACTAAACTGGAGAGAAACAGTGAGGAAAAAATGAGGGTGGGACGAAGAATCACACGTCAGCATTCCTGGCAGCAGTAGAGCTCAGACAAGAGGACAAACACTGGAGAGTTGGAGCAGCTGTAGACCCCAGATAATTAGAAAAGGGAATGTTTCTAATGAAATCATAAAAAAAGGGGATTTTAAAATGTATTGATCATAAATATAATGTTAATCACAGATGCATACAGCTCATTTAACTAATACAAATATCGATAAAGCATTAATGTTTCCAGAAAGAGGAGTAGATTTTAAACAACAGTAAAGTGAGAATCAGTGCAGCAGTAGGTGAGGGTGCATATAGAGAAAATTCTGCATTTGTGCTTGTTTGAATAGATAACTAAGCACCATTAAATCTCTTGAGACTAAAAAGAGAACCTACAGACCTGTTTGAGTGACTTCCTGTTACCTCCTTGCTACTTGCTTTTTTTCCCTACAGATAGTCAATATGTGTTATTGCTGCAAAGTTAAAGGGGAACACCGTTTTTTTTTTTACATTGGGCCCTTGATTTTAGGTTATTGCATCATGTTCTATTCACCCATATGAGTTTTGTGTCATTTGGAGCTGTTCTAAAGATATTCCATTAGGGTTATATCCAAGTAACGTCTTCCTATGGGCCACGAGTTGAAGGCACAAACTAAGCTGTTCATAATTTTTCATTTATGGTACCCCAGGATTCATAACATGTAGGCGAATCACTGTCCCCCAGACATCTGTGGTTATATTTTTCATATTTATATCTTTTAAAAACGAAGCGTCACATATGTTATCCAAGCGCGCCGGCGGTTCGCTAAACTGCTGCTAGTTTCACTCACATGCCTGGAAGATATCTAGTGCTACTACCACAGATGATCTCTCTCTCGTAATTGGAATTGAACGATTCAGATTAGCTCGTTGAATGAATAGAAGGGGTAGAGCGTAGCCGCCTGTGGCCAGGGCTGCCTGTCACAACTCCAGTCCAGCGCGCGGATGACTTCATACACACTCTGCTTTGTTTTATAAAAATATAAATATGAAAAATATAACCGCGGATGTCTGGGGGACAGTGATTCGCCTACATGTTATGAATGCTGGCGTACCATAAATGATAAATTATGAACAGTTTAGTTTGTGCCTTCAACTCGTTGCCCATAGGAAGACATTACTTGGATATAACCTAACGGAATATCTTCAGAACGGCTCCAAATGACACAAAACTCATATGGGTGAGTAGAACATGATGTAATAACGTAAAATCAAGGGCCTAATGTAAAAAAACGGTGTTTCCCTTTAAAGATTCCAACCAATCAATCATCCATGTTCGTTCAAGTGGAGGATAACAAACTGCTTTTGGTTTTTTAATTTTATAACTAGAATGTATGTAATTGCCTTCTCCTGGCATGAAAAGGAGCCACTTACCAAAGGAAGTTCTGTTCGGACTTTTTAACAAACCATACCTGCTCTGGTTACCACTATATGGGCTTTGACAGCTTATAAATTCAAGGATTTATCAGTAATCGGATTACAGTTTGCTCCTTAGAGATGTAAATATGTGAATTGGACTATTAACATAAACCAGAAGGTCATCTTTCATAGTTTAATTATTTCAGGGGTCATAATCTGACATTTTTAACAGAAGTGTACTATAACCATTGGGCATAAGGTGTAGTGCAAACTATTTAAAGTGTACTAAACAAAGAGATTTAATTTCATGTAACTTCTATGCTAATCAATTAAAATATTTAACTATCACACTGATAATAAATCTGATATGAAGTACATGGGTATAGAATGGTTTGTTTACTAGACCATAATAGAAATGAGGTGGCAAAGCGAAGCCCAGACATACTGGGAACATTTAACCCCAACATATGAGGAGCTGAAAATGACTCAGAATACTGTAAAATAATCTCAGCATTAATTAGGATAATTAAAAGTGATTCCCTGCAAATGGTTGTTATGAAATAGATAAAAGTAACAAAACATCACTGCTCTAAATGAAAGGTATATCTTAATATTTGTTTTTGTATTAAGGATAAAGAATACAGAATGGACATGGGGACTTATTATGATTATATGACCGTAATTACATCATTTGAGTTCTTTGTGCTAAAAATTAGCAAATAATTACATGTGTTTGCAAAACAGAAATCACACAGCAACAGCTATTGAAAAGGGTTTGGCAGAGAGCAATCATGTTTCCCGTTTGCTGCTGAATACTTAGAATATTTTACAGTTGTTCAGTTTATATCAGGAGGACAGACTTCTTTTCTCAAAGCACATCTAGGTTCATTCACCTTGCAGATGTGTTGCTAGTTTCAGCTCTTAACGGCCTGATGGAAGTAAAACAACTTACCAGGATTCAGTGCAATCTTGCTGCTTCAGATGGTGTTTGTGAGTTGAAGAGAAAAACACTAAAAAAATAAAAAAGCCCTTCTCTAGACCTGAGAGTTTGGCTGGGAAAAACTGAAAGGAAATGGTGATGAGATCCAATTAGAAAGCTGGGGTCAGTGGGAGAGGTGGAGCCACGGTGGGGAGGAGAGGGAGGAAAATATTTGATGTCTATTCAGGACAAACACATGAGAAAGCTACTCACAAGGGGATTCATACTTCTTCACATTTGAGCTCATTATTTAGCCAAAATTAATTTTATATATCATATATGAAAGACAAGGTTTGTCAAAATGTCTTTTTAGAAGTTAAAATCTATAAAGTTCCTCTGAGTAAATACTTCTCAGTTATAGCTGCAACACATTTGGGGCATGTCTGTAAGACTTTTGCACATATAGAAACTAAAATTTTGCCCACTTATTCGCTAAAGCACTGAAGTTCTGATAGTTTCGAACGACAGTGTGAATGAAAAGCATTTTTTTAAGTGTGTTTCACATTCCCATTTGAACTAAGACACTCTATTGCAGCTCTGCCTGTAGGATTAAGGTATCCTGCCGATATATTAGCAGGTTTTCCTTTAGGATTGCCCTGAATAAGCTTCCAGCTAACCCCTCCACACTGCAAAAATTTTTTATCTAAGTGAGTCACTTTTTCTTAAAATAAGAGGAATTTTTTCTTGAGTTAAGCAGCAAAGTGAGACTCTTTGCCAATGGAATAAAACTACTCACATATTAAATAAGCATTCCAAGTGCATAATATATCAATCATTAAAAATACTAACTTCATTGGCTGATAATCTTATTTACCTACTCAAATTAAGGGTGAATATCATTTTCTTATTTTTACTTTTCTCTTATTACAAGCAATTTCTACTAACTTTTAGATACTTTTTCCAGTGCACAAACTCTGGTCAGCTTCCATGATGCCATGTTTTATCAGAGGAACCCTTTGTTCTGGTTGTTGTGAATTGTAAATATTGTATGACACATAAAAAACATTTCCCTGTTGTTCAAAGAGCTTAGTTGTGGTCTTATCTGACCAGAGCAGCCTCAGCATGGTTTTGTTTGAAGATATTTGTAGAGTGTACAAATATAAGCTTTTCTGCTGATAGTCTCATTTGAGTTTTGGACCTCTGCAGCTCCTCCAGAGTTGTCTGGGACACATTGATTGCCTTTCTGAGTAATGCTCTCCTTGCAATATGTCAGTTTGGGTGAATAGTTGTGCTTTCATAGGTACGTCATTGTCCCATACTCTCCGTTTTCAGAAGAGCTGTCAGCTAAGGAGAGGGACCTCCTTTGTTCGTACTGCAAGGGTCAGAACCATACAGAATCCTCTCCTGGCCTGACCCTGGATCCTTGCTTCCCCGAGCAAAGCAGACCTCTGCTCTCAACCTGGACCTACAGAGAATGTTTTTTATCGAATATGCACCAGAAAGCCCTATACCACAGCTGCACGAAAGCAATTACCCAAAGACATCTTCAGAACCGGCCAGTCTGCATCTGAGCAGAAAAACTTTAAGAAAAAGCCCCCAAGTGGAGGACTTTATACAAACCTCCAATTAAAAAACAAACTGGTGATCTCCAGTGGAAGATTTTACACGGTGCCGTCACCAGAAACTCGTTTTTATTCCGTTATTAATCGAGGTGTTTTAAACGAGTGTCCTTTCCGGTCTATCTGAAAATGTGTTCCATGTTTTTATGGAATGCACAAGACTAAAGACAATATTTAGGCTTTTAATTAGTGTTTTTGGTCTTTTTGGGATGGTTTTTACAAACGCCCTTTTTATACGTAGGATGAGTTTGCCAAAATAGAAGAAACAAGCCAACGGCCCGACTTTTTGATTTTTTAATCAGTGAAGCAAAGATGCCCATTTACCTGTCCCGTAGAGACAGGGGACAGAGGGACCTCTCCTTGATGACGTGGCTCTGTGGAAGTACAACGTAAAAGCCAGAATAAGACTGGAGATTCACTTTCACAGAGCCACACAGAACATGGAGGATTTTATTCAGCTGTTCATAAAACAGCATTTTATGTACTGTGTCAGATGAAGGACAACTACAATTTAACAAGCTTCTCATTTAATGATTTTTAACTGACACTCGTTTTGCATCAATAATTGTTTATATGTTTTTTATATGTTTTGAATTGTGTAAATTAAGTGTTGTTAAAAGTCATTTTCAGAAGATGGTTTGATATACGCTCTATCAGATCTGTAAAGCTGGGTTTATGTCTGATGTTAGGATAATTATCATTGAAGATGTGTGAGTTTATTAAACCTTGGTATTGGCTGCAGGTTGCGTGTTAGAACTGATATTTTCCACAATAGTTAATCAAATTAAGACAGTTCCTCTGTCTGGATATACAGTTATAATCTTCTTTCTGTACGTGGCAAAGATTTGGAAATTAAAGGGAAACGGGGTCCTTCAGCAAAAATAAAATGTAATATTTTGATAAGGCTCGAGCCATGGATGTCTACTCATCTGCTAAAGTGTATGATGTAATGATGTGATGATGTGGCAGACTGGAGATGTATAAAATGCCTTTTTAACTGTTAATCGGGGCCACTTCCTTAGAGGTGAGCCCAGAGGTGAGCAGCTGCCATTCTGTAAACTTTAAGCAATATCTCTGATCTGAGTAAGATTAAAATTTCTATCAGAATCTGTTGTCATGTCTCCTGGTTATTTTATACATATAAGTTATGAAGTGTTATTTAAAGAGTTGTCCTGAGTGATCTCTTCGCAGGGAAAAGAACCGGAGAGATAGAGCGTCAAAGTGCATACGCAGAGCCTATTTTTAACACTGACATTGACTTCTCTGCTGCGATTCTTACTCTTCATGATGCTGATCAGAAAACTGAATTTTGCAGTTTTTATTTTTTATTATAAATTATTCAAAACCAAGTGTCCAACGTCCCATTTGTGTTAATTTTGCTCATAAAATCCTCTCCTAAATCGGGATACTTTGTGGTTGTGGCTGTAACAGAATAGAAAATATGGCGCAACACTGAATACTACCCAACTGTAAAACAAAATGTAGAAAAGAAGACATGGTTACTAGGAAGGGAAGGGTTAGGGAGGGATTAGGAGCTAAAGAGGGGAGGGTGATAAACAGAGGAATTGTTGAGATGTTGCATAATGAAGATGGGGAAAAGCATTCAGATCTTGACCACAGAGAATTCACAGGGCTGTGGTCAAAACAGATTTTTCCCACAATGCTCTGCTGCAGATGTTCTCAGTGTTTCATAAAAAACAAAGACAGTTCTATGAGAGAAAAAGATAGAGAGAGAAAAGAGGAGAGTATGAGACATACACACACTTTCCTCTTTGCTAGGCAATTTGTTTGGAACAGACGGTATCTCCCAAACTAAAATCCTTATCCTAGTCTTGCAGGACTTGGACTGCAATCCTCTTTTCCCCATGTAATCCTTCAGAGGTGGCGTGAAGTTGATAAAGAATGAGTCTATAATATACTTTTGGGGATGAAGCTGTAGTTTTGACTGGTTTTCAGTTTACGGGCCAATAAAAATATATTTTTTTTGCTCTTATCATCCAGCCCCAACTCCAAAAGAAAGCAGACTGATGCCAAATCTGGAGGCGCTGTGAAGCATAAGATGAAAGGATATTGAGCTAAAGAACAGGAGGGAGTCATCAGTTTGGGATATTTGTTTATTTAAGCATTCATTATTTTCTTTCCATTGCTGAACTGAACAGTTTCTTTAACCAAGGTCTGATTTACTGGTGATGCAATACAGTATGGATGTTTTAAAAAAAACTTAATTTCTTCATCCTTGTCAAGAAGTCAAATGTCCTTGTAAGCTTTTAAAGCTGTCATTTTTAACAGCTCTTAAAGCTTTCTAAAGTTACTCAAAAGTTCTGCTTTGGGCTTTTGATGGTTTTCTCTTTTTCCTTTCTGTCCCACTATTGTTCCCCTGTATGTACTCATAACTAAGAAATATGAATACAGTGAGCCAAAACTACATGTTCGGTCTAAATGTATTCAAAGTAAATAAACGTTTAATAATTATTTTTGAGTACCCGACATGAGAAATTCCTCCTGGTGCACCTCTACTCTAAACTATGCATTTAATTACCTAATCACTTCTTTAAATAATTACTCTAACAATGATAATCTCTGAGTTAATATGAATCACCAAACTGGTTTCTAGTTTGAAGGATGAGCCTTTAAATCAGGAAGGTCAAACTTAAGTCCTCAGGACCGCTATCCTGCAACTTTTAGATATATTCCTGCCCCAACACATTTTAATCAAATATAATAAGAATCCTGCAAAGGGCCTAATTGTTTAATTCAGGTGTTTTTAAAGCAGACATGACACCGGCCCTCAGGGACTGGATACCAACATCTCTGCTTTAGATGCTTTTTAAACTGGTATTGTAGCCTACTGGACTGGAAATAAAAGTTTCATATATTAAGGAATAGGAACAACAATGTTTTACTTCAGTCCACTCTTGAGAATATGTGTAACATAAATACCCTACCTTCTGATGTCATATTGTTAAAAATTTCAAACTGTGTGTTCAAAAATAAATGTAATGATTCAGAAGAGAGGGACCCAATATTATGGCAAGACAGACAGTGGGATAACTTAAAAAGCATTTATTTAGGCAACAATGGGCTGCGGGTCTGCAGCAGCAGTGGCTAGGGCGTCCGAGGCAAGTAACTCTGGGAAACACAGGTTAGTGACAGTGAAAACCTGATAGAAGATGATCTGAATGCATGAGTCACTAACCTGTTTTAGAATTCAGACTGTGCCCAGTGAATGAGGTTAATACCAGCCGGCCAGCTGACAAGACCCAGCGCTTGATACACAGAGTTCCAGACACCAAAGCCTTGAAGGACACAGAACTGACAGGAGATCAGAATTGAGCAGATGGCGAAGGAAGGACGGCTTATTCAGAGGGCGAGGTCAAGAGGCAGATCCAGGTTCAGTCTACAGTCGAATCCAATAGAATTCAAAGACAGGTCAGGCAAGCATATCAGATCAGGGGCAGGCAGGCTCAAAGGTCCAAAGACAGAAACGGGTCAGGATCAGGCAATCGGAAAACACTATTAGT